TTAGCAGCAGACTTAGCAATCATTCACTAGCACAAGAGGCTCAAGGACAGTAGGTGAGAGACGATGAGAGATGTGGGAGGGAGAGGGACTTCAGAACATGGTGCCTAGACTTTAAGAATTTAAGCACAGTACGACCGTCTTTGAACATCTTGTGTAAGCGTAAAATAGATGCTCGCCTCATACAAGTTAATCCATTAGCAGTTTGAAGCGTTTCATATGTTTCTGTACCATTTTGCCAAGTTTAATATGAGACTTTCTTGCTTCCAAATTGTCATCAAGTTCCGACCCATTTTCTCCAAATTTCTCTGTGACAAGCAGTGTTTAGTAAGTTGTGTTCAAAGAGCTGTTACAGCCGTCTCCCTCAATTTGGATTAACAAATGTTGGCAGATCAGCTTATTAGATATATAGGAATAATATACTAAAATTACAATAATCTAGGATAAACTGTCTCTACTAAGAACATCTCAAGACTTCTAGAATGCACCTCGTAAATACAGATATGTTAGCCTGAAACTCGCAAGTTATATTCCGTAAGCAAATACAGGTTGTCCCAGAAGTCACCTCGGTATTTAAAAATCGAGGAATTTCAACACTATTTTTATGAGGGTAATTCAAAAAAGATACGCACTTTTACCATAACATATATTTGAGTTTGCCACATTGTCTTCTTCTCAAGCACTCCTATAGTTGGCACTATTCTGATCACAGGATCGAGGTATGAATTTGATTGCTCTAGTTTTCGTGCTGTTGTTACAGTATAAACATGGCCGCTCCGTTAGCAGTATACAACAATGAGGAATAAAGAGCAATGATCCGAATCTGCAGCGAGCATGCTAGCTCATCGATGATAATTCACCAGTTCACCATTACCATCTCTCAAAGTTTCTAAGTCTTTTCGTCAGTGGTGGAGATTGACGAGCGTCCTGCTCTTTCTTTGTGCATCACGCTTGTCCGGCCGCTTTTAAATTTATCGATCCACTCATACGCGGTAGTGCACTGTCGCAGTATTGTGTTAAAAGCTTCCGATGAATTTGAACCTCTGACACATCTTCGGACCAGAGAAATCGAATCTCTGCTCTTTGTTTCTCCTTGGTTCACACTGCTAGCGAAGCGGCCATGTTTGCACTGTAACAGCAGTAGGAAAAACTGAAGCGATCAAGCTCAAACTTCGATCACGTAACCACTATAGAACAAACTACATGCACGCATGAACAGAAGGCGGCGTGACAAATCTAATAATATGTTATGGTGAAAGTGAGGATAATGTTTGACGTACCCTCGTATTATTCAAAAATAGTTTTATACAGAATGGAAATTCAGACACTTGAAATATATTCTCATTTAATTATAAAAAATTATACGATGCTAATATCTTTCATTTTCAATGTCACACAGATGCGTTCTTTCTATAGTTTTCTCCTTAAAAGCGTTTAATAATTCAGGCTGCCACCCTAGAATTTCTGTACAGATGTTATCCTTGAGTTGCACAATTGTCTGTGATTTATTAGATCATATACCATCCTTAATGCATCCAACAAAGAAAATAATCGGGAGATGTCAGATCAGGAGAATATGGTGGCCATAAAATTCAGAAATTTCTGAATTTTATGGTCACCATATTATTATCCAGTAAGCAAAAGTTTGATTAAATCCAAAATAAAATTCCAAGATCTTAGTTCTTTGTTCGGCTATTATCATTTTCATATGTTCATCTAATTTCTGTAAAAAAAAGGAAGAAAAATTATGAAAAATATGACATTTTTAATTACCTGACTTTTTGCTACTTTCTTTGCAGCTCGAATATATATATATATTAAGAAGTGGAAAAGTCCGACAATTTATTAAAGACATTTTTATGTTTAACGTTCTTTTTATAGATACAAGTATTTAAGTAAATGCTCTGTTTATAATAAACAGTATTAAATAACATTTACCGGCCTGAATGTCCGAGAAATTTTCATAGAAAATATTCGTCCTTTGACAGGATTTTCTATGAAAATTTCTCGGACATTCAGGCCGGTAAATGTTATTTAATACTGTTTATTATAAACATTATAATATATATATATATATATATATATATTAAAGACATTTTATGTTTAACATTCTTTTTTATAGATACAAGTATTTAAGTAAATGCTCTGTTTATAATAAACAGTATTAAATAACATTTACCGGCCTATATATATATATATATATATATATATATATATATATATATATATATATATATATATATATGGTGCATAATTATCAGGCGTTTTTTTGTAGGCGAGTAATTTGTTAATAAAAATTGCTGTTTGTTTACTTTTTTAATAAAATGTTATTTTACTTTCAGGTTATAAAATGCATGTTGATAATCATACATTCCTGAATAATCATTTTAAAATATTATTGTTGAATTGTTATTTTTCTTTTTTCATAATAAATATTGTTTAAAAACAACTGAAAATTATGCACCAACCCAATACACACACACACACACACACACACACACACATATATATATATATATATATATATATATATATATATATATATATATATATATATATATATATATATATATATATATATATAGGGTAACAGAATCGGAGAGCCGAGTTCGAATTCCATTCTTGTGCACTAATACCCTTGGGAAAGGTATGAATCCATCTCTTCTCACCCCATCTAGGGGTAAATAGCAGGACAGAATGGTATTTATCAATCCACCCACGGGGATCAAATGTGGCACAAGGCCTTTTTAATGTGGGTATCTCTGGCCCGTAGGCCCAGCCAAAAAAAATAACTATCCAAACCCGCCGAGGCGGGCCAGTTCCGTCAACCTCCCCCAACGAAACCCTACCCTTCGGCGGAGCTTCGTCCGGGTTCCTCTCTGCAAGCAAAGAGTTCGACAGACACCCGACCCGGCAGCTCACAAAGCGCAGATACTACACTTTGATCCTAGCCACCGGGCCGAGCGGGTATTAGAATGGGTCCTATGTTCGACGTATAATGGGTGAAGCAGCTCAGTTCTTAGAACAAACAGCCAGACCACCCGCATATACCATTTGATTATAATGGTGACGGCTTGTGCAAAACCATCCACACTCTTGTGGGAAGAACCGAATATAGAGAACAGGTGCACAGTATGCACTTGAATTCAGTGAGCGAAATAAAGGGTTCAGTTCAACATTCCAAACACCTGAAGAAAGCTGGAGCGTACAACGGATGAAACGTTGTGATAAATATGGCGACAAAGATGAGGACAATAATGTAAATAGTGTAAATAAAATATTAATAATAAAATTAATTTAATATATAAATTGTATAAGGATTATATATAAAGGAAGCATATATATTTTCAATTTCTATAATACAATTTCCAAAACTTATCTATTAGTAAAAAATAAAATGAGCTTATTTTTTTTTTCACCGAATGGTTATGAGGGTCTACTAAAACGAATTGAGTAAAAGTGGTCCATGGGTAAAAAATGGTTGAGAACCACTGACACCAAACTAAAACTCATATCTATGTTATTCCGCTCATATCTATCTATCTATCTATCTATTTATCTAATTCCGTTCATATCTATCTATCTATCTATCTATCTATTTATCTAATTCCGTTCATATCTATCTATCTATCTATTTATCTAATTCCGTTCATATCTATCTATCTATCTATCTATCTATTTATCTAATTCCGTTCATATCTATCTATCTATCTATCTATTTATCTAATTCCGTTCATATCTATCTATCTATCTATTTATCTAATTCCGTTCATATCTATCTATCTATCTATCTATTTATCTAATTCCGTTCATATCTATCTATCTATTGAAAAAAGTGAACCCAGCTGGAAATGGGAAATTATCACAACTGAACTTTCTTTCGATGTGCCGTGTCCTTTCAGGACGTAGGCGATCATGGCTATCTACCTCCCTCTATACCTCGCAGCAGTTGAACAAACAGAAATGTGCCTGAGCAAGCGTCTGAAATGGGGATTAACTAGCCACCCTTGTAGATTGGCATCCTCGGATTTGAGTGGCAATATATATTGGACTCTCCAGTTGTTTTCACTGGGGTAGACTCTAGGATGTCAGTTATCTCCTGTTAATTCCCCTCTCCACTGACTTAACTGGGTATTGAACTCACACTCTTTGAGTTTTGTCACTTTAACCAACGCCTTTATCCACTGTGTCATGTGTCCTTGAGGACATCTGTATATAAATTTCTGGGTATTATAGACCTAATGTTATCAGCAATCATATTTTTTACCAGTGCTCATATTGCAATTTTTATTTGCTGTTATCATTGCATGTTTTTACCAGTGCTCATATTGCAATTTTGTGTTGTTATTATCGCTTTTCTCTGACACCCCTTATTACTGGTTCGCATATTTGCGTGCAAATATCCGTGGGAAATGTATGAATCCACCACTTATCCCCCATCTATGGGTTAATTAGTAAGATTTGTATCACTAAGTCATAATTATCACACAAAACAAAATTCTTGCCATCTAAAAATATTTTCTGGCTTTAAATAACCTGGAAACGGTTGACAAGCTGTAAAAAACGAATCGATAAATAAACTTAACTTTATGAACACACTGTATATACGCAAATTTTGAACAACAGCAAATGCTTCATAAATTTTTAACAGTTTTATTGTGAAAGAATATTAAAATTTAATAGTGCACAGTTGAGCTTCAAATAGATGGAATAGTTAGAATAAAACGTATGGCTGGAAAAATAATTTTCAGTATTGAAAAACATTATCATAAAATGTTGTTTTATCATAAAGTATGGGATGGAAGAAAACCTCCTGAATATTTAATAAAAGGGGCAATTGGAATAAGGATGTCCAGGGTGCATTTTTCTTCCAAAAGATTAATCGTCCCGGCCCATCTATTTGAAACTCAAAGGTAATTTATTTCATTCGGCTTTAGCTTATCTGCGACTTTTCTTTATTTATTGCATTTGAAGATGCTACTAAGATTTGTACAGCGTGTGTTTCAGGCATTTGCAATGAGGAGAAAACAAAGAAAAAAAAAGCAGTTTCGACACATAACTATATGTACGAGAAAAAAAAAATTCGGGATCTCAGGGGCTTATATTGACAATTTGTTTCTGCATCGATAAATCTGAGATTACTTGATATTTTTTTAATTTGAAAAAGCGAAAAACTACACAAACGCACATATGTTTGTAGATAGAAAGAAAAGGAGAGAAAGAGGAATATCAGATAGATAGATAGATAGATAGATAGATAGATAGATAGAATAGATAGATAGATAGATAGATAGATAGATATGAGCAGAATCAAATAGATAGATAGATAGATAGATAGATAGATAGATAGATAGATAGATAGATATGATGAAAAAATAATAGATAATGAATTGATTGATAGAAAGAAGATAGAAAAAAATAAGAAAATGAATTGATTGAGAAAGAAAGAAAGAAAGAAAGAAAGAAGGATATGATAGACTGATAGATATTTAAATTGATAGAAACGGATATGATAGATAGAAAGAAAGAAAGAAGGTTGTGATAGACTGATAGATATTTAAATAGATAGACAAGTCGACGCACATGTTTGTAGATAGAGAGAAAGAGGAGAGAAAGAGGGAACATCAGATAGATAGATAGATAGATAGATAGATAGATAGATAGATAGATATGAGCATAACATAGATAGATTAGATAGATAGATAGATAGATAGATAGATAGATAGATATGAGTAGAATAACATATAGATATGCGCAGAATTAGATAGATAGATAGATAGATAGATTGTTTAGTTTCGTCTACACGTTTTAGGTTGGTGTCAAGTCAGAATGAAAGACAAGTGGAAACCTTCAATGTACCGCGTCCCTTCAAGACATAAGCGATCATGGCTCTCCACAACTTCATATTCGTTGTGGCTCTTAGTAGGTTTTTTTTTTTCCATTTCCTAACGCCAGCCCACGTTCCGCCATCCATTTACCTGATCGCCGCCTCCCGCTATCTCTCTTGTCCTGGGGGTTAACTTTTCCAAGTCATTAATCTCGTTAGATGTCTAAGGAATTTCAACTGTCTTTTCCTCATTCTGAGTCGAAGTGTTCTTTCTGTTGCCATTTTCTTTAAGACTTCTTCGTTACTCACTAGCTTCATCCATAGAATGTACAGTATCCTTCTGTATTGGTTTTCTCTTCATCCATGTGGAGATTGTCCAGCATTCACTGTCATCTAAGAGGATGAATATCACATAGTAATCCATCACTTTTCTAGCGGTTTTTTTTTCCAATTCTTGGGACCTTTCTTAGCTTTTGGAATGTCTCTTTCGCTAGTCAGGTGTATGTTCGGATCTCGGTGTCACATTTTGCACCCACTGTTCGAACACTTCGGAGATGTTTAAACTCAAGCACTTGTTTGATGTTGACAACTCCAGATTGTAACTCGCATCTTACTTTGTTTTTTGTTTTTTTGTTTTTTTCTTGCTCTTTCTTTTTTTTTTTTTTTTTCTTTCACTTTTTCTTTTGTTTTTTTCTTGCACTTTCTTTTTTTTTTCTTGCACTTTTTTTTGTTTTTTTCTTGCACTTTCTGTCTTCTTGCATTTCGTTCGCACGTAAACAGGGGCATAACGCGTTGTCATTAAAAAAAAAAAAGCTTTTCCATTTTGTTTCCTTTCTCCAGTTTTTTTTTTTTTTCAGATTCTATATTATCCTACTAAACACGAGTATATATATATATATATATATATATATATATATATATATATATATATATATATATATACTGGGTGTAACAAAAAAAATTGTCCAATTGTTACATTAAGCTCTAATCCGTTTTATCTTAGAAATGATTAAAGATATCTTACTGAATTCTCCGAAGTTTTTATAACACTATTGGACTCGACTTTGAACATTGAGAATATGTAATTACTATCCAAGCTTAAAAGGAGTATCGTGATGAAATCGATCATAAACGAAAATGACATGTTCATCATTAATAAATCATAGCTAACGAACGGAAGCTCATGAAGGATAGAAATATATATATATATATATATATATATATATATATATATATATATTATCCCAGGATCATTTTCCACCTTATTTAAGATGATCTTCTCCCTCTCTAAGTTTCTAACGTTCTGTACTGGAGTAGCAAGTTGCCTCATACGTTTCATTTTCAAGTATTTTTCACTGTTCTTTAGACTGTCATAGCTGAAACTCCTCTCTAACGTGCCAAACGTCTTAAGAATTGATTTGGATCTTTTCTAATTGATCTCTTTAAGCTCTAAATTGAAATGATGATCCCTCTTCCTGTTGTGACCTCCTGATCCAGTTTTCCTCTCTACTGTTAAACTTTTTGTGGGGTGGATAATTATACTTTTACACGATTTGGAGAATATATCTGAAACATTACATATATATATATATATATGATTAATACAAATATAAAATTTGTTACTTAGTTGATTACGAGCAAATATTCATAGCGAATCGGCCGTCACCCGGGTCAACAAGGGCCGCGTACCTCAGAGAGAAACCAGTCTGGGACCGAAAAATCTGTCACTGGAACAAATACTTACAAATCAACTTATAAAAAGAAAGCGAAGAGTCATGACATCCTTTTTCACCACTCTCGGGAATCCACAAAAGAACATCACAAATCAGACATTTATCAAATATGGAGAACTATGGTAAGAACTGGAATAAGACCCCATTTCAACCCAAACAGGGACATCGTGCAAACAATTGAGTCAATTGCTTCGTCCATCGCAAGGAAAGTTGGCTCCCTGTGCCGCGCCAGGACATTTTTCTCCCCGGAATCGATCCTCCAGATCTACAAATCAACAATTCAGCCTACATGGAGTATTGCTGCTATATATGGTCTGGAGCCACTTCTGTTTGCCTCGGGGTTCTTGATAGGCTCCAGAGGCGGATATGCAATATAATTGGCCCTGTTCTGGCATCCCGTCTACAGTCACTTTCTCACAGACGCGCCGTCACCACTCTCAGTCTTTTTTACAAATACTTTCATGGTAATTGCTCCGAGGAACTGCAATTCGCTGGTTCCCAGACTTCATGAGTTCAAGCGCCCTACGAGGCTGGCATCCCGCTCTCACCCTTTCACTGTCGAAACTACTAAATGTAGCCGTCTCTTCTACTTCAATAGCTTCATATCTCGCACCTCTCGCCTGTGGAACACCCTTACCTATTCCAGTTTCCCTGAGAGCTATAATATCCAACTATTCAAATGTAATGTCAATCGACGTCTCCAGTTGCCTTGATCTATCCACTATCCTACTCCTCATCCTTTCCTCTATCACTCCTATCTGATCTTGCTCCAAATTTTCTGTAACCCCTTGTGTCCTAGTGGCTTCCCGCCTTGCTTGGGGTGAAACGCTTAAAAAAAATCCAAAGAAAAATTATTGGTCCTGACCTAGCGTCTCGGCTTCAGGTTGGGGTTGGTTGGGTTTTATGGCATATCAACCGCTGTAGGTCATTTAATGCCAAATTAAGTTATATATATATATATATATATATATATATATATATATATATATATATACAGTACTATTAAACGTATAGCTGGCAACGTTATTTTTCAGAAACGTATAGCTGGCAACATTTTTTTAAAAACATAGCTGGCAACATTATTTTTTCCAAAAAACGTATAGTTGGCAAAATTATTTGTTTCAAAAACGTATGGCTGGTAACATTATTTGTTTCCAAAACGCATAGCTGGCAACATTATTGTTTCAAAAACAAAATAGCTGGCAACATTATTTTTCCGAAAACATTATCTGAGGCCTTGCTGTTGGACATAGTTTATTGTCATACCCAGGACGCGGATGTAGTTTATCGCCATACCCAGGACATGGGTAAGATCTGGAAAAACTAGGAATTCACTATTTGCCCATAACTGGAACCCTAACAGGTGCTACCACCCCGGGTCATGGTGGACCTGGGAACACCAGCAATTAAGAGGTGGTTCTACGCTCCTCAAAACCTCCTGATCAGAGGCCTTGCTGTTGGATGCAGTTTAACGTCATACCCAGGACGGGTCTCGGCTTCAGTCACTTCAACACTGCTGTAATGCCGTTTCTATGAATACTTACTCTGAAATGCAGAAATAGATCAGATAAGTCTAAATATAAGACAATACAATAATCCATCGCGCGAACAATAAAGAGTTGACAATGGAAATAAATAATATGACAGAGGAGTTTTTAACTAAAATAAATGAAATACGAAATAAACGACTGAGGAAACATGACAAAAGTAAATACTGTCATATTGGTAACAGCTTTAGAAGCTACTGGAAGTTTGGCGTCAAGACGATGAAAAGATCAAACGACAGACAAAAAAGATCTATCTTGGAAGGCAAAATTGATGCATGAAACAAAGATGCGAGATATCGGTACTAGTTGAGATCAAAAGAAAACGTTTCAATACGCAAATGCAGGAAGATCGAGCGGAGATATAAAATTGAATAACTAAATAAAACGCCAGCAACCAAGGAAATGTTAAAACAGAAACTGCAGTTAAAGACACAAACGAACAAGACGATACGAAAAGCATTGCAGGTTCTATCGACCAAATAAAATATTCCAAACGAACCTTAAGAAATCTTATAGAGAAATTGCAAAAGCAGTTATACATGTCAAATTGTCGCCTATTGAAAAAGTACAGAGCTAATGCTGCCATATCTGGTCTGGAACTTCCACTGTTCGTCTCAAGTTCCTCGACAAAATCCAGAGACGGATATGCAAAGCGGTTGGTCCTGGTCTGGCATCCCATAGATGTGCTGTCGCTTATCTCTGTCTTTTCTACAAGTACTTTCATGGTATCTGCTCCAACGAGCTGGTTCCTAGACTGCATTAATTTAAGCGTGTTACTAGGTTGGCATCTCAGTCCCATCCTTTCACTGTCAAAACGTTTAAATTTAACCGTCACTTCTACTTCAATAGCTTCATCTCTCGCACTTCCCGCCTGTGGAACTCCCTTCCTCTTACTTGCTTCCCTGACAGTTACAGTCTTCAAATATACAAATGTAATGTCAATAGACATCTTTTGATGCCGTGATCACTGTCCTTCTCTTTATCTTTTCCTCAATTACGTCTCTTTTTGCTTGCTCCCATTCTCTGTAACCCGTTGCGTGTTAGTGGCACTCCCGCCTTGCTTGGGGTGAAATGCTTAAAAAAAGAAGTGATGGATAAACCTTTACAAGAATGGGAAAATATAACCACGAATAATGTTAGGCAAGCTCTAACGAAATACCCAAAAACGGAAATCCCCCGGAAAATGACAAGGTACCCAATTTTTGGCTCTGTCATCAATCCACAAAAGCATTGAACAAACTCTATGAATGCTTATTAGTAATTGCTGAAACTTGACTAATGCATGGAATAATAATACAACACAAAATGTACTTAGAACAAAATGTATTGAAACAAGAAAGTGTACACAATATTTACATATAGTCTTTTGTTATATTCTTGGGAAGACCGTTCCTGGAGAATGTGTTGACTTAGTCGCAGTCAGGCAGAGTCTCTGGATTGAATCTCTTGATTCCTCTCCCCGTCTTCCCGGTACCAACCATATTTATATGGTCGGTACTCCACCATGCAAATTAGGTGGATCCTACCACAACAGTAATCCCAATGAAATCCCAGAATGGATCACTGAAAGTGTTACATATCTCCTACCAAAATCGGGCGAAACAGATGATCCGAAAAATTGTAGGTTAATAAAATGTCTGTCCACCAGGGATAAATTGATGACATCTCCCCTGAAGAACCATACTTTCTCGA